TTTTAAAAGTCGATTTTTATCGATTCGTTGTTGCAGCCCTAGTGAATTGAGCATTGGATCAAGTAACTCTATTAAATTGGTTGGTATGGTGTTCAGGATTTGGGTTTCTTTAGGCTGCAGTGTGAAAGTAGCCAGAGATTCAGGTAACGGAGAGCTGATCCTGATTTATTGAGTGAAAAATTCTCATGTCATCTTTAAATGTTTAGTTCAGTCAAATGATCTGAAAGCAACAGACATTTGTTGTCTTTATCAAACTTTATCCTGTTTTATCAGCTGATTTAACAGAACATTGTCTCTACTCTAAAGCAGCAGCAGCAGTTTGAAATTGTTTTGAGTCATGAGGCCCCTTCCAGTCCTGTTAACGTTGCCAGACTTTGCACCATTGATTAATCACATTTTCTGCTTCCTGTAGATTCAGTCTTTTAAAATCTAGAGTTCACTTGCTCTGCTGATTGCAAAGATTTCTGCAAACTCCTTTTTACTGCAAACTGCCGTGACTGATTCTGATTTTCTGTTTTTGTTCAGATTTAATCTTTTATTTTAAAGCTCTGTGGTTCTCTGCTGTTTTAACCCCCAGAACCCTTTGCTTCTCTCTCTGCACAGTGGAGCAGGAGCGAAACCTCCTGCAGGTTCGTCCTTACTGGAAGGAGTTTCGCTTCGACCTCACCCCCCTCCCTAAGGGGGAGACAGTGACAGCTGCAGAGTTTCGGATCTACAAGACGCTGACTGTCGGCCAGAGGGCCAATCGAACTTTGCACATCTCTGTTTATGAGATCAAAAGGGAAAACAGGAACAGGTTAGTCCTCCGACTCTCAACCAGACCGAGCTTCATGTCTCCTCAGGCTCTGGAGGTTTCTTTGTATTTTGGTTAAATTGATGCTTTTAAAAACAAAAAAAACTGATTGTTTTTCATCTAAATTAAATCCATTCTTTTCTACAGTTAAGTTTTCATCATTTTTAAATACAAATTACCGAACATATGCAGTTTATTCCTGCTGATGTTTTATTGCAGCTAGCACCACCGTGAGGAGAATAGTGGTCATTGCAACATTTATTCCCTGATTGAATAATTAACCTAATTAAAAGCTTTGGTTTTGGATTATGTAAAAGTCAATGAGTTTAGATTTTAAAAAGATTTAATAATATATATATGTGTTATTTTTATTATTATTTATGAATCTTCTGCTGCTGCAAAGGTTAAAGATTTTCACATTTCTCTGTTTGATAAACTTGTATTTTAAACAAAAACATTTTATTAAGATCTTTAATCTTCATATAAAACTAGATAAGAATGTGAATGTGGTTGCTTTAAAGTTTCTAACTTTATGAAATAAAAAAAGATGCACTGGAATATTTTATATGGAGAGCTTTTTCCTACAAAGAGAAATTATTATAATCCATTAATCAATAAAATGTACAGATGAAATAAAACAAAATCCACAGTATTATAAAAGGCAAGGCAAGGCAAGGCAAATTTATTTGTAGCACAATTCAGTACAAAGACAATGCAAAGTGCTTTACATGATTAAAATACAGGAAGATAAAACAGAATTAAAGCAAGTAAAAAAAAAATGCAGAAACAAAAAATATTATTACGGTATTATTATTATTATTAT